GTATTTCTCCAAAAAAGGTTTTCTTTTTTTTTGTAGTGCTATAAAAAAAAAAAAAAATTTAAATAAACTCATTCTCATATACCAAAAAATTAATACAAAATAACTCGATCATACACGTGATTTACAGTTATAATAAAAAAAAGTGTACAGTTTCAATATCTAAAAAAAGATACTGTTTCCAAAGTAGGGGTGCTGGCGCAACGGCAGCGCGTCTGACTCCAGATCAGAAGGTTATGGGTTCAAATCCCATGTGTCCCAATTTTTTTTTTTTGGGAGAGGTGTATATGATTTTTTGGCATTTCCCTTTCAATATTTTTAATTTTAATTTTATTTTACACTATTTCAATAGAATATTGTTCATTCTTTTTTTTTTTTTATAGCACTACAAAAAAAAAGAAAACCTTTTTTGGAGAAATACGAACCATTTAACATAATAGTTGGAAAAAAAAAATTTACCAAAATGAATGAAGAAATTTTGAAATGTGCATTGTTATGGGTTGGAAAGTAAAAAAAAAGAATGAGAAATAGACTATATATAACCAATATATACAAGGATATGTCTATTTTTTGGTGAAGAAACTAAAATTATAATTGATCTCTTTTCTCTTTCTTCACTTCACTTCATTTTATTTTATTTTATTTTTCAGTGAGAAATTTATCGTTATGAAAAAATTTAGCACATTTCAAAAATATATAAAAAATACAAGGCCATAGAAGGTAGGAGAAACGTCCTTAGGTAAGAAATTGGTCAAATATATAGATGCGTCTGTGTGTTAATTAATAGATAAGGTATACAAGGACAAAACAAAAAAGAAAAAAATAAAAAAAAGCACTCTAAATGTCCAGTAGATGTAATAGAGCTTTTGACATGAAAGTGAATGAAATGATTTTGATTTGAAATTTAAAATCCTAGCCATGATAATTTTTTAGAAGAAGTCGCTGTTTTTGATGGGGTGACAGGATTAGGGTCGGACTCTTGTTTTTCATTTTTTATACTAATGGCTTCTGAACCATTACCCCCACCTCCACCTCGAAGTGGTTTTGCTATACGTCCTCCTATATCTAAAGGTGACATATTGGACATCGATGGACCTTTACTTAAACTAGACGTCAACTGATTAACTTGTTGTAGCAAGGAAGCCATGTCTGCTTCGAATTTTTCTTTTTCATGACCAAATTCCAATTGAGTGTCGTTCAATAATTTTTCCAAGGATTTAATGGATTCATCTTTCAAGCTTAATTTTCTTTCGGCCAAAGCCATTTCCTTTTTCAATTTAAAATTTTGATCCACTAATTGACTTTGTACATGTGTCAGTTGATCTAAATTACGTTCTAAAATACTTAATTTGGTTTGGGTGGTTTTCAGGGTGGTGGAAGCTAACAATTGATGATGCTGTTCTTTTAAATCATCCAAGGAGACTTCTAATTCAACGACTTTTTCACATCGGTTTTGAAGATCTCGCATCAATGATTTACGTGATTGATCAAGTTCTTTTAATTGTGCCTGGAACATTTTTTTAAGATGCGTTATCGGATCGTTTGATTCATTTTCAACAGGTTGAACACTTTCAACATCTTCAACTTTGGTAGTAATTTCAGAAGCCACGTCTAGGTTTGCGTTGAAAGAAGAAGAAGAGGCCTCTTGTTCAAGGGGGGATGACAGGTTTTGGTCTGGTGGAATGGACGTGGATGTAGAAGAAGTTAGAGTAGGATGTTTTGTTTGATCTGATTCCTTCTGTAATTGAAGTAAAGCAGCTTCCATGGCCTTTTGTTTTTCTATTAGCCGTTGATTCTCCAGTCTCAGAGAGGACAACGATGGAGTTATGTCGTTTGCTATTTCTAATGTATCTTCTTGAACAGGATCACTCACTGTGTCGTTTTCTTGAGGTTTAGATAACGACGGATCTTTTTCGAAAGTGGTGTTCGCCTTGGTCATTGCGGTGAGTTGAGCCAGATCTTCATGACGAAGAGAACCTCGACTTGTGGATTGGGCTAATAAGAAGGCCAATTTTTCAGATTTCTTTTTCTCCTTTTCTAATTCCATGCACTTTTCTTTCTCGTTGACCGCTAAATCCATACACTGCTGTTGCAAATCAAGTACATTGACCTCTAACATTTTAACTTGATCGGAATATACCTCCAATTGCATTTGAATATCACGGTTCACTGAACTATCCTTTTCATGGTCCACTTTAAGGACTTGGAGTTGTTGAACTAGATCCATTCGTTCTTTGACCCATTGCAACTCTTTCTCTTGTAAACCTTGAAGTTGAGATTGGATTTGATCTATTACAAGTTTAGTTTGTTCTAATTCTTTTTCTCGTTCACTTAAATCATCCATTAATTGATTTTCACGTTTTAAAAATTCGTCTTTTTCATCCTCTAAATCAGCCGGGGATGCCGGTCGCGAATTCACCATTGTTAAGGTACCTGTGGAATCCGGACGTTTCTCGTCTAATTTGATTTTTTCTAAATGGGCATACTGTTCTGGATTGACCACTTGACCTTGACGCCACAGACTGAGTTCCGCCTCTAATAAAGGTATGTATTTTTTGTAATGAGCCAATTGGGATTCAGCTTTCTTCAATAACAATTTTAATTCGGTGGAAGATAATTCTTGATTGATGGTAACTTTATTTTTGATGGATTTAGCACGCATCCCAAAGCGTAATGTGGACAACGTTTCCGGTTCGTTAAACGCAGAAGGAGAACAATTGATAATCAAGGTGGTTTGAGCATTACCACCTAACGATTCTTGTAAAATGCGAGTCAATTTAGAATCTCGGTAAGGCACATGCGTGGATTTCCCATCGGTCAATGCATTAATCACCATGCCTAAGGCAGCTAAAGATTTATTGATTTTTTTAGCTTCTTCCAACGTTTGTCCAGAAGCCCCTGTCTTCCCCACCTTTTCTGATCCAGCTAAATCTACTAAACTGAGTTTCCCTGTACGATGGCTACCATCGGCGACATTCTTTTGTTGTATAGTGATCACAAAAATCGAATGTGAACGAGAAGATTCAGTGTTCATGTTGGTAAACGCGACGACTCGGCTTTGTAAGCCTTGGTGCATGGCTTGGTAGACTTCAGGAATGGTGGACACATACACTTCTTTCAACCCTTTCACATACACTCCTCGTGACTTTTCTTCATGAATTGGTAAATTATCATTATGAGCTAAGATACATTTAACCACCATACAGAAATTAAAATAATAATAATACCCAAAAAAAAAAAAAAAAAAAAAAAAAAAGAGAAGAAAGAAAAAAAATAAAAGAAAAGAAAGTATACACTTAAAAAGTGCATTAATAAAGAATAAAACTAAAAAATAAATAAATCATTAAATTGATGGAAAAAAATAATTCTAGAAAAAAAAAAAATACGTTTATCTCGCTGTTCATTGCCAGGTTTACTTTTTTATTTTTTTAAGAAAAATTTAAACAAAATTTAGCTATATATTATCTAATCTTAACAATTAGCTATACTTCTTTTCTTTTTCTTTTATCTTTGCCTGTCCTAAGACCTCTTATTACTTTCTAATATTTTCTTCAGAAAGTTTTTTTTTTTTAGCCTTCGTTGAAAATCCTACCTAATTTCTCTTTATTTTTTAAATATTTATATACCTTTCCTTATTTGAAATAAGAATAATGCTTTTTTTTTTCGTACATCTAGCTTGGTCACTTTCTTTATCTTTATTTAAGTAAA